TTACCTGCTTAGGCCCACAGTCGATCCTCTTGGCCCACCTATTCACATCGCGATTAGTCCGAGGAAATAGGGTTCCCACGATGTAGTGGAGTGTGCTGTGACCATAGACTGAACCATTGTAAGGGACTACTCCATCGTCTATACAGTGCACACTGGCCATTCTCGGTGCTGGAGGTTTCGGGACCACGGTAGTGTCATTATAGATATTATCGCAAACCTTGAAAGCTTTGGTTAGACCAGGCTGGAGAGCTAGAACACCATTAACCGATACGGCTCCTTGGATGATCTTATGGCATAATAGAGATTCCACTAACATCCCACCGTTACTGTAACCATAACCGTAGACTGGCAAATTCGCCTTGTTCTCTCTTTGGATGATAATCCTGGTGTACTCAAGATCGTCGATGTTCTGATTCGATGTGCAGCAGACACCCGCATTCCATGCGTGCACTGCATACAGTCTGGTCGAAAACCATCCATAGCCGCTCCCACAGGCGGATATCAATATGAGGCCGTACTTGTCAGCGATAGCAGCATTGTGGAACTTATTCTCGAAAAACTCACATGTTTCTAACCAACCATGGTATTGAATGAGTATACCCTTGATCTCGACACCTTCAGGGGGCAAATGGCGGTAGTAAGATCGTGTTAGGTTAACAGTCCCCGGGTTCGCCATTTGAAAGCTGATCTTCTCACTCCCTTTGATGCCACTTCTGAGCTTTCTACTCGAGGAGGAGATCGTGTCGCCTTCAGAACCTCTTCCTTCGATTATCGAGGGGGGCTCGAGAGTCACTGTAACATCGAACTGGGGGGCATCGGCTGACTGGTCTTGGGGGGGGCTCGTCAATGACAGTGCGAATCCGGTACATTTGAGGAACTTCCTCAGAGGAAGCACGCGAAGCACATTCGTGAAGGTTGTGCCTGAGATTCGAGTGTTCAAGCAGCGAATCCCGACTCGGACCGGGGATGACGGGTTTTACCCTTGTCTGAGGACACCACATCGTAGAGGTCTACTTCATAGTAGGTCGCGTCACTCACACTCTTCCTGATGAGACATTGTATTCTCAACTCTCCTCAACGCCATTTTGCTACAACTTACTTCAGTTTCCTGAGCTCCTCAGTTATCTTGGGAGTGGCCGCACTTACAATCATGTGGTTCCAGAATAGTGGAAGGCATTCGTCCCTGAGAAGACGTTCCTCAATATTACATATCTCATGAGTAACGGACCCTAATATGGAGACTAAACTCACTCATTGTATTTGGGGTCTGTAAAATCCCTGAGACATCCGGAAGGGACTGGTTTTAACACTTTGGTGTCCGGCTCTAGTGAGTCATCCGCAATCGTCCCGAGAACGGCCGCAGCAACTAATGATAACGGGATAATACGCAGTCCCATATGGAAAGTAGTAGGCACCACAAGGACGATGTTCTGTACA